GACACCGAGGTCAACCCACTTACCTGATATCTTTGCTCTCTAAATTTCCCCTCATACTCTACATTTCTACCCGTTACTCGAACTGCCCTTTTCTCTGCCTTATCAAGAGTTTATAAGAACAAGATCAGGCGATAGATTATAACTGCTTAGCCTGAAGCCTTTAGGTGCAACTGGTAGAAAGACTCTTTTCATTTTTATTTTATTAGATCATCTATATTTTCATTTCTCTATCATTCCATGAGTTCACTTATGCCTATATATATAATTGTTATTTGTGTTTATTAATGCTTCGGGCCATTGATCAATCAATGCATTCTTTTTCTCTCATTCTGAATAATTCCCTTAATTTCCTCATATTTTTTATAACTGCATCATAGTTCTTCGCATATTCTTTCGACTCACTTCCTCATCTCTCCTTTTTTCTATTTTACCATATCTAATCGTTGGTTTGTTAGCTCAATGGGTATCCTGTTACCAGCCTCTCAACTACAACCACTACTACGCATTCTCCATCCTCTGTCTCCTCGCCATCCACACCGAGAGCCCATTCTGCCAGAGCTGTCGGTCTCAGACTTACTATTCCAACACGCGATCTATACACTGGACTTTTGTGTAACAGTCGACGTACCACACCAGTCTCTACTGCAACGGCAATTGCCACAGGCGGCCCAAATAATGGTGCATCATTGGGTAGTGGTGTACCAGAAACAGGAAGCATTACTTTCACTCCACTAACTGCCAGCTTGAGTACTGAATTCGCTTCACCTCTTATGGACTTGGTCAGAGAACAACCATTTCTAAATACCCCGGATGTCGTGCGTACTCTGCGTGAGTAGGAACTTTCAAATCTGCGCTTGATTTTTTCCCTCACTTGAAATCCATGATTTTACTTTATATTATTTCTTCCAAACTTCTTTTGCATGGTAGCTCATGGGTATACTAAAAGACTGGCAAAAAAACGAGCATACTATCAAATGTCAGTCTTTCCGAATTGGAGACTTTACTTAACCACTCAAATGTATTCACTATAAGCCATTCCAAGTCACCATGTAACTGGTGCAACAATTCTATTATATTAGCTGGCAACTGGCTTTCACCTTCATCTGCGTTTTGTGAATAATTCCCTCCTATAAATAGGTAACAGCACCTCTTGATAGTACATAATAAATTCCTCTTAAATCTTATCAAATATAATAGTGAAATATATCGTCATGCATTCATAAAACTCATTTTGTGCCATTTAGTCATAAGTCTACTTATTTTGCCGACTATCAAAAGTGACTGACTTGTCACCCGTGGTCATACATATAATTTGCATCCGAATAGAAGCTGTTTGACCTTGTTTTCGCAACTTGGTCATATTGGTAGGAAGACTTAGAGGAACGCATCTAGTTCGGATCAGATTGCATGCATCATAATTTCCAGAGTAGGACCGTGGACGTGGTACATTCCCAGACGTTTCGCTGGCATCGTAGTCGGTATCGTCAGTGAGTCTTGCCATTCGTAGCACCATCCGAATGTTTAAAAAATCCTGGGTTTTGACCTATATTGCATTTAAGATTAAAAAATACTGAGTTTGAGGCTTTTATTACAAAATCTGCTGTGTTA